ATCCAAACCGAAAGGATCCAGCACGCCAGGCATCCCCGTGATGAATCAACAGGGGGCGGCGGGTCAAAGACGCCTACGGCGAATCACCGCCGCCCCCTGCCTTTGTGGAAGCGCCTATGTGGCCGACTGCTGGGCTAGAGCTTGGCCAGCCTATCGGGCCAGTTGTTCCCCGAGTTGGTTCGGAAGCCTTCGGGGAGCGCGTAGGGGAGCAAGAGGTTTGAAATCGCCCATGTTTCCGAGCGTTGTGGCAAGAGCTCTGCCAAGCTATCGAACCATATGCTCCCCCAACAGTTGTGGAAACCCTTCAGGAAACACTTGGGGGCGGAAGATCAGGAGGAGAAGGAGGAGGAGGAGGAGAAGGAGGAGCAGAAGGATCAGGAGAGGAGGAGAGGAGGCCGTCGGAAGGCCGAAAAGAAGCACATGCCAAAATGCTTCAAAAGCCTTAGGACCTTAGAACAATAAAGGATTTGGGCATCTCTGGGCCTTCCCGGAGGCCCTCTTGGATGCCTCTTGGGCCGTTTTGGAGGCCTCGTGGGGGCCGCTTGGGCCGTCTTGGGCCATCTTATAGCCATCTTGGGCCGTCTTGGTGGGCTCCTGGCCCGTCGGAAGCTGTCTTGGGGGCCTCTCTGGGCCGTCTTGGGGCCCTCTTGAGGTGCTCCAGGACCGTCTTGGAGGCCATCTTGGGCGTCTTGGAGGCCTCTTGGCCCGTCTTGGGGCCGTCTTGGGGGCCTCTTGGGCCGTCATGGGGCCATCTTGGAGGCCTCGTGGGCGATCTTGGGGCGACGTTGGGGGCCTCTAAGATTGTCTTGAGCCGTCGGGATGCCGAGAAGAAGCAAATGCCAAAATCCTTCAAAAACCATAGGACAACCAATGAGTTTGGCCTCTTCGGGCCCTCCTGAAGGACCTCTTGGAGACCTCTTGGGTCGTGTTGAGCCGTCTTGGAGGCTTATTGGGCGAACTTGGAGGTATCTTGGTATCTTTTGGGCCGTCTTGGAGGCCGTCTTGGACTATCTTGGGCGGACTTGGACGCCATCTTGGACCATCTTGGAGGCCATCTTGTACCAACGTGGCCATCTTGGAGGCCATCTTGAGCCGTCTTGGGGGATTTTTGGGGGAGTGAGATCCCTTTCCGGGTGGCCGGCGGGACGCCGAAGCCCCAGGGGGAGTTCTTTTGGAAAGAGAACCCAAACCAAAACCGAAAGGGTCTAGCACGCCGGGCACCCCTGTGGCAAGCCAACAGGGGACGGCGCATTGAACACGCCTACGGCGAATCACCGCCGCCCCCTGCCCTTTCGGAAGCGCCTATGCGTCCTGACGTTGTGGCCAGAGGCCTGCCAAGCTATCGGACCATGTGTTCCCCGAATCGGTTTGGAAAGCTTCCGGGGAACACGTTGTGGAGAATGAACATGAAGAGGAAGAGGAAGAGGCTTCTTGGCCGTCTTGAGCCGTCGGAATGGCGAGAAGAAACAAATGCCAACATCCTTGAAACACTTAGGGAAAATTAATGATTTTGGTCTCTTCGGGCCCTCCTGGAGGACCTCTTGGAGGCCTCTTGGGGGCCTCTTGGGCCGTCTTGGGCAATATTGATGCCATGTTAGGCCGTCTTGGAGGCATCTTGGGCCGTCTTGGAGGCATCTTGGGGGGCGAAGCTATCGGACCATGTGTTCCCCGAGCCGATTTGGAAACCCTTCGGGGAACACGTGGAGGAGTAAGCGGAAGAGGAGGAGAAGGAGGAAAAAGGAGAAGGGGGAGGATGGGAGCCTCTTGAGGCACTCTTGGGCTCGATTGGCGCATCTTAGGATCGTCTTGGAGGCCATGTTGGGGCTATCTTGGGCTCTCTTGGGGCCTATTGTGGGCCTCTTGGGGCTCTTTTGTGGCTTCTCGGGGGCCTCGTTGGCCGTCTTGGGGCGTTCCTGGCCCGTCGGGGGCCGTCTCGGGGGCCTCTCTGAACCGACTTGGGGTTCTCTTGGGGCGCTTCGGGGCCGTCTTCGAGGCCATCTTGGGCGTATTGGAGGCCTCTTGGGCCGTATTGTGGCCCTCTTGGGGCCGTCTTGGAGGCCTCTTGGACCGTCATCGGGCCCTCTTGGATGCCTCTTGGGCGATCTCAGGGGCCTTTTGGGTCGTCTTGAGCCGTCGGAATGCCGAGAAGAACCAAATGCCAAAATCCTTCAAACATGTAAGGGAAATCAATGATTTTGACCTCTTCGGACCCTTCTGGACGGCCTCTTGGAGGCTTCTTGGGTCGTGCTGGGCCGTCTTGGAGGCTTCTCGGGCGACCTTGGAGGTATCTTGGACTCTCTTGGGACGTCTTGGAGGCCGTCTTGGACCATCTTGGGCGGACTTGGACGCCATCTTGGACCATCTTGGAGGCCATCTTGTACCAACGTGGCCATCTTGGAGGCCATCTTGGACCATTTTGGAGGATTTTTTACGCATTGAGGTCCTTGGCAATCTTTCCGGGTGGCCGGCGGGACGTGCCGGAGGCCCAGGAGGAGTTCTTTTGGAAAAGAACCAAATTCAAAAACCGAAAGGGTCTAGCACGCCAGGCACCCTTCTTACAAGCAACAGGGGGCGGCGGATCGACGACGCCTACGGCGAATCACCGCCGCCCCCTGCCCTTTTGGAAGCGCCTCTGCGGCCGACAGCTGGGCTAGAGCTTGGCCAAGCTATCGGGCCAGTTGTTCCCCGAGTCTGTTTGGAAAGACTTCGGGGAACGCATGGGGGAGCAAGAAGAGGAGGAGGGGGAGGATGAGGAAAAAAAGAGGAGGATGAGGAGGCCTCTTGAGCGCCTCTTGGGGCACTCGGGGCCTCCTGGGAGCTTCCTGGGGGCCTCTTGGAGGGTTTGGGGGTGGCCTACGGGGCTTCTTGGGGGCTTCATTGGCCGTCTTGGGGTGCTCCTGGCTTGTCTGACGCCGTCGGAAGCCGTCTTGGGGGCCTGTCTGGGTCGTCTTGGGGCCCGCTTGGGGCATATCAGGGGTTCTGAGAAGCCCTCTTGGGCGTCTTGGAGGCCTCTCGGGCCGTGTTGGGGCCCTCTTGGGGCCGTCTTGGGAGCCTTTTGAGCCGTCATGGGGCCATCTTGGAGGCCTCTTGGGCGATCTTGGGGGCCTCTTGCGCCGTCTTGAGCCATCGGAATCACGAGAAGAAACAAATGCCACCATCTGTCAAACACCCAAGGAAAATCAATGAATTTGGCCTCGTCGTGCCCTCCTGGAAGACCTCCTGGACGCCTTTTGGGCCGTCTTGGAAGCCTCTTGTGGGCCTCTTGGGCCGTCTTGGACCACCTTGAGGCCATCTTAGGCCGTCTTGGGTGCATCGTGGGCAGTGTTGGAGGCATCTTGGGGCCATCTTAGCCGTCTTGGAGGCCATTTTGGCCGTCTTGGAAGCCCCTTGGGCCATCTTGGAGGCCTCGTGGGCCATATTGGGGGCCTCTTGGGCCGTCGGAAGTCCGAAAAGAAGCAAATGCGAACATCCTTCGAACACCTTCAGAAAAATCAACGATTTTGGGGGAGCGGGGACACCTGACGAATGGCGTATGTTGGTAGATGTGATATTAGGTTATGTTACTCACGGTTGGGAGACGCAAGCGGATCTCCTCTGCCAGACGACGATTGGTACGCATACGAGTTGATCAGTCATGGCGGTCATATTTGTTGCCAGTATCGAAATGGTGCAACTTATGTTTGCCGACATGAACAGTTTCGGTGTTCTGATGGGTTGCGGTAAGTCTCTTGGAAGCATACGTCGTTGTAGATTGTGTCATTATCAGGCCTTACTCGATATCAAATTGGTGCTTCTGTGTCGGCCAGACTAAAGTTGGAATTTATGTGTGAGCACGCATGTTCCTTGCAATTGCTTGGGGGAGAGCTGTGCCCAAACGCAAGCACCGCGCAGAGCGTCTGGTATAATCTATCCCAGGCAGAGGGGTATTCGTTCAAGCATTATGTCATCATCGGCCACCCTTGTCTACATTTCAACCGTGGCCTCAAGATATGGCCAACTACAAAAGGAGCGGAATACAAGTATGAGGAATGGCATTGGGTAGCGCGTATTCTTCGTATAAAGAGAGATTGGGAATTCTGCATGCTCCGCCATGTGTTTGATTTTTGCTGCCGGCCAGACGAAGATCTTCACCAAATGAACGCTCGCATTGCTGCTGTAATTTCCCATTGGTGCCACGGGTCTGGCATTCAGATGCTTTGCACTCGCGTGATGAAGGGCGCACGACTGCGTGGCGGACTCGTGGTTCCCAGCCGGACGCGGAGGCCTCCACGTGGAGGTCGGCGCTCGAATTTCGAAAATCTACGTGGTGGCGCAAGATCCAGGCGCTCGCCTCGGAAAGGAACAAATCTCTTCAGCTGTTGAGACCTGTGCCTTGCATCATGAAGGCCTCCACAAAGAGGGTTGGCGGATAACGTCACGAGTCACGAGCACCTGAAACCACAACCTCAAGAGTGTGCGCGTTTCAAGTGTGGCGCCAGCTCTTGCCGTACATCTGTTCGGGGCTTTGATCAGGGACAACGATGGGGGGGGGGGATAGGCATAGGGGGGATGCATCGATCCCCGATCGCCCATTGATCGCCGATAGGGACCCGATAGCCCCACCCCGCCCAGGAAGGTGCGGATTCGCGATCGGGAGCCTATCGCCGATCTATCGGCGATGTATTACCGATTCCAGGTCGATGCATCCCCCCCTGTGCCTATCCCCCCCTATCGTTGCCCCTCATTTGATCGGATGATTGGTCAGGGGGGCGGTTCGCGGCGCACTCGGGCTGACAGGCTCGCGTATCCCGGGTCGCCGTCCGACAATTGTTTGCTCCTCGCATGGTGTTGCGGATCTCGCTCGTCCCTCCTCGTCCCCCCCTTTCCTCGTTCCCCTCCCCTGCTGCCGATATGCCTTCCTCTCTTCCTCTTGGGCAGTGTGTTCATGGTGTGGCACGTGTATACGGTTGTTGTGGGCTCTATGCATATCCAGCCGTGGTGCAATGGCGTTGTGCGGGCAGGGCGCATGTACGGCGAGCGGGACCAGATAGGATGTGAAATGATGAAAGCGAGGGCGCGATGGAGCATAGGAGTAGTGGAGGGATGGATGGGAGGGGGTGGACCTATGGACGGATGAAAGGGCTTTGAGGGAGAGACGCAGCCAAGGAGTTGAGAATGGAAACGCGGAAGGATTAAGGAAAGGGACGGGTGAAAGGGCATTGGAGCAGAGAGGGAAGGAACGAGGAGAGATGAAAGGAGAGGAACGGGGGATAGTGAATGTGGAGCGGGAGAGAGGGACAAGGATAGAGCGGGAAAGGACAAGGGAAGAGACGGAGGAGAGGAAGCGGGACAAGCAGGGACGTTGCTCCTCCTCCTCGGTCCGCCTCGGTCCTCCTCCTGCTGCTCCTCGTTCTCCTCCTGCTCCTCCTCCCTGGCCAACCTCTTAGTGCCCCTGCCACTGCCATGCCGGGGAGGGCCCCTCACGGAGAAGCTCACCAGAATCGCCATGTCTGGGTCGATCGGGGACCGCGTCGGCGCAGGAGCACCCCCCTCTTGCCGCCCGCCGCTGCCGCGCCCTTCCCCCCCCTGTCCCGCAGGGGGGCGAGGGGGGAGTCCGACTTGGATTCTGCCTGTGGCGAGATTCCGATTGCGGCTGGGCAGGCCGCCCGATCACTTCACGAACGCGCAGAAGGCAGGCGAAGACGGCAGCGCTGAAAAGCAAGCCGGACGTGGCATCCGTTGTGACGCAGTCCAGCCACATTCTCAAGGTACATGGCGAGTTGCAAGCTATTTGCAACCGAGCTAGACATGACATCGATATAAAAGCACACAGTGTGAAACACGTTGGCGATGTATTGCACCAAAGCAGGCCTGCCCTGACTCGCCACACCGCCCACGATGCAGCCGCGCACAACAAGACGCGACACGCGTGCAAACCACACTTGCACGATATGGCCCACGAGAGCAAGCCGTTGCACAAACATTCATGCCGATCTCCGCCTTCATCAGCGCGACAACAAAAAAGAGCCGAGCGTTGCGGATCGCAACGCAGAAAGCTTATAGGCCAGAGGCCACGCCCACATCGCAGCAGACACGCCAAGCACCCGTGCAGAAGCCGAGGAGGCACCAGGGCGCACCAGGCCCGAGGGCCAGGGGAGCGCCCGCCACCACGGCTCATCCCTTGATCCTTTACACGCCGGTCGTTGAAAGTATGTATTCTTGGATTCCCAGATCCCAATCTACTTCAAGCGCCTTCCTACTTCAAGAATCGACATGCTTTTGCTGTGTTATGTTATTCTCTGGGAGGACCTGGGCCCAATCTACTATATTCGCCTTCCTACTTCATGTTTCTACCTACTTCTTCCGACCGGCGTGTAAATGACAAATTCACGTGAGCCACATCCCACCAGAAGATCGAGCTGCACATTGACCATGCCAGTGGAAGTGCACCCAGGCCCGCGATGCACCAGCGAGAAGCTTGCGACACGGATGGGTGGAGGAACCACCGCCCCAGTACCTCGGGCACCGCGGTGAAGGACCGAATTCGGCCCGGCGTTGCGCCGCCTTGTGCCCCAACCCGAGCGGAAGACGACGAGCTCAAGCCGCAGGAACCACCACGCCAGTACCTCGGGCACCGCGGTGAAGGACCGAATTCGGGCCGGAGTTGCGCCGCCCTGTGCCCCCACCCGAGCGGATGACGGCGAGCTCAAGCCGCAGGTGCGCATGCTGTAAGCGGGCATCAGGGCCCTGGGAGGAGCGCAGGCGCAGGCTCGAGCCCCATGCTTGAGAGCCAGGCTTGCGCCCTTGGCTTCAGGGAGGCGAGGGAGGAGGGAGGGCGGGCTCCCTCTTCAGCGTGCGTGCCTGCTGCTGGGCGGGGCACGCCTTCAGGCAAAGTCTGGCCTCGGGGAAGTGTCGCCCGATGTGGGCGGGAGGCCGCGGGGCAACCGAGGCAGGACCTCATGGCCTGTCTTAGCAGGAGGGGCAGGAGCATTCCCGAGGCCCCGGGGCGCCTCAGTGCAGTGCCGTCCACAGGCTTCACGAAACAGCACCACACCGAGAGTGGCAAGGTGGTGGGACTCGTGGCAAAATTCAGCACAAGGACGAGCAAGGGCGCTCCTCCTCCCTCCCGACCGCCCCCGACGGCGGGCCTCTAGATCATCAGGCGGGCGACCCCTGCCCGGAACAGCGGTCGGTCTGGTAGCCGCTGCACACCTTGCTCAATTCGGAGGTGGATAGACCACCTACCTTGACACGTCGATTAAGGAATTTGACGTTTTTGGTTCGCGAGAGGGCGTCGCGGCCGTCATTTTTGCGGGTCCAGGTCCGTCGGTTTCGGTCCCAGGCCGTTTTTATTAAGGGTAGGTTTACTACAGGGAGGTTTGTTCACCGCCGATCAACGAGCGCGCGGGGCTTGCACGGGGAGGGCCAGAACTCCGACAGCTGGCTTTTTTAAAAGTATACCGAAAACAGAGAGAGCAATTGAGGATTGAGGGGCGAGTGGTCACGCGATGTACGAACGCGACCAGCTGGCAATTTTCTTTCCTTCAGTGCAGGCACCCTGCGAGACCTCTGATGGGTGACCTTCTCGGGTCTGTCACGCTCGGATTGGAACACACATTCATATCTGACGTTCTACCCCTCCCTCCCATCCCTTACCATGGCGTAGATCTCTTATCTATTCGCAGAATCAGCTGTCGTAGTATGGCATAGCATTACATGGCATACCGTGGTGTTGAAGATCAACGCGTGGCATGACACAGCATGGCATGGCGACGCCCCAAAGTAGGGGGGTGGTCTTCTACGGCCCCAAACAAACAACGAATCGACACCGACTGTGTAATCACTTCCGATGATTTCTTCGGGAGGCTATTTTCTAGATTTTGGGGCCATGGCGTGGCATGGCACTGGAAATAATGACGCCAGCGCTGCAGCGGGAGCACGATTCGGAACGAGCGGAAGCGCGGAAATGGGGCCAGCGTTGCAGCGGGAGCACGATTCGGAGGACGCGGAGCCTGACATAGCATGGCGTGGCGACGCCCCAAAGTGGGGCGGGCGGGGGCTTCTGCGGCCCAAAAAATGAACCAATCGACACCGAATGTGTAATCATTTCCGATGGTTTTTTCGGGGGGGGGGGGGGGGGGGCATTTTCTATGTTTTGGAGCCTATTTGGAAGGACCGAAAACCATGCCGTGACATGGCGCTGGAAATAATGACGCCAGCGCTGCAGCGGGAGCACGATGCGGAACGAGCGAACGCGTGGAAATGAGGCCAGCGTTGCAGCGGGAGAACGATTCGGAGCGAGCGGTGGTCCGAAAATGAAGCCAGCGCTTCAGCGAGAGCAGCATCTTGAACAAAAAACCGAAGCGAAAACCAGATTCCAGGGAATCCTGTGTGTAAAAACCAGTACGCGGAGGGGGGCCGGTCATTTCCGGACGTCTCCAGGGGAGAGAGGAGAGTAACGTCTTCATGTCGTGCGATTGTGGAGGAAGGGGGGAGGAGAGGAGAGTGGAGGAGGAGAAGGGGACGTGAGAGGCGGAGGTTGGAGGGGGCCCCGGCGCAGGGACAGGGTAGGCACGGGCTCCGAGCGGGGAGAGGGGGCCCCCGGCCCATGAAGGCGTCGCCGCGCTGACGTTGGCGGCGGGGGCCGCGCACTTCTTGCAGGGCGTCGCCTCCCCCAAGTCCTGCGCCGACCTCTGCCTTCGGCCATGGTTTATGGCATGCGCTGGGAGGGGAGGGGCCGGCCACGCTTCAATCGGGCCCGTCCCTCTACAGGAAGAATGTTCAAAGTAGTCCAAAAATAGTATGGGGACGATTTTTTTAATACTTTTTCGCCCTTTGGGAGCATTTTTTGATTATTCTTTATTTTTCGTCGAAAATCTCCCCCTGTAGGGGGACACGCCCGACTTAAGGCAACGCGCATAGTGCAGGGGGAGGGGGGGGAGGCTTTGCAGGGATCACCCTTGCTTCTTAGAATTGGCATCGTTTGACCGATCCCCATCCCCATCCCCATTTCCCCTCTCGAGACCCCCACCAGATTTCCACCCCAGTTGGGGATACACCCCTCGAAGCCCGAAGGGAACGACCTATATCCCCATCCAGGGGGGTGAATCGGCCAGTGGGGCCCAGGCCACGCCGCTGGGGATGGGGATCGGTGAAACGATACTCATAGAAGGCGCGGGCCTTGTCTGTAGATGGAGAGCTGGCGCCTCCTGAGAGGCAGCCTTCTTCTAAGAAGCCCTCCCCCCATCCCCCTACCCCGTTGTGCGCCGCCAGAGGGACGGAGGAGGCCAGTTGGGAGCCGAGCGAACCTAGGTCCGTAACGAACGGAGACAGGGGTGAGGAGGAGGCGGCGGCGGAGGAGGCGGAGGGGGAGGCAGAAAAGGAGGGAGTGGAGGCGGAGGAGGGGGATTTCAATAAGGAATCTAGCGACGATGGGGCCCAGTTCAGGCTCCTGGGCATCGAAGTTCAGACACCAGTCGGCCAGCGCAATCTGGCAACAATCGATGCCCCAGAGGACTGCAATACCGGGAGAACACACAAATAGGGGCACACAATTTCGCGCACACACAAACACAGACACACCCTTTCCGCAGTACGATACATAGTGGAATATGCGGCTCACATCCACAGACGAGCAGTACATTGGAAGGGAAGCGCACAACCGACGACCTTTCTGCAATAGTCTGACTTACTCCAGCCTTGACTTGTGCGAGCTTGCAATCTGGTCCCAAGACCCTCCTGGGTGGTCAGTCGCAGAACCGCGTGTGGTTTACCTGAAGCACGTGACTACCGTCTCACAATTCAATCACAACCGGCTCAACAGCATGGTCCAGACGCTTGAGACCAACATGTCCCACTCGGATTTTGAGGGCTTCCACGTGTCTTAACTTAAGCAGCCTCGCATACGTCATTTATGGCCTCGTCGATCGCATCCGCAACCTAGCGATGGAGACGGCCCGCGGCAGGCCCCGCCACATACGTTCGACCGACGCAGCGTGTTAGCAAGCTTTGGGTACAGCAAGGCAGCCGCCACCACGAGGCACTCACGTGTGATAGCATATTCTTGACACTTACTGTGTTCCCATCAGCCGATCCAGAAACGATTCCCAAGCGAGTAGTCGTGAGGAGGGACACGGAGCATGAGTGAAAAAGGAGGGGGGCGCCAGTCCAAGCGAAGTTGGGAGGAGCCCGACCGGGGCTTCTTGGGTGCCTATCCACCTGAGAGCTCCCATGAGGCCCTTTTGTGAGCTTTCGTGGCCCAGGGAGCCCTTGGGCTCGTGCTTCGGCAGCCACGTGCCCTCCCTGTGGCCCAAAGCGGCCTTCTCACCCGAGGCCTGAAGGAAAAGATGGCGAGCCCTCGTCCGCCTCAGCACCGCGCCACTTCCCGACGCCTCGCGTGCCGAAAAATGAGCGCACGCGAGCGTCTTCTATTTGGCCTCGAGGTGGGGATGCAGGTGTGCGAGTTGGGGAGGCGGCTTGGCAAAAGTTCAGACACGCCGTTGGCCTGGCGTTGGTGCCCCAGGCTTCCTGAGCTGTCGGGCCATCCGTTCCTCTCCGCTGCGCCGCGTATTGGCGCCAGCCTGCCCGATTTGGCACACCCCTCAAGTGGATCGTGTTTGGAGTGGCCAATCTTGCCCAGTTTGGCACACCCCTCAGACAGATTGCGCGCCAAAGGGAGCTCCACCGACGGCCCTGGCGGACTCGGCCCAATTCGGCACACGCCTCCATATCGTGCCCCATAGGGATTGGCCATTGGGACCACTGCGCCTAGGCAGATCTCTCACGCAGATCGAGCCCAACTGGAAGTTCCACCTGCGACTCCAACGGGCGCAGCTCTACGGGGCCACCTGACCCAATGCGGTGCCAGCCTCACGCAGAGTGCGTGTCATAGGTGCGGTTCCAGGGGCGCTGCCCCGTGGGGGCCCCAGTGGGGCGGTGGGGGCGGGCGGCCCTACCGGGCCACCTCGCCCAATTCTTGCCCACACTTCAGCCAGATCGTGCCGCTTAGGGAGTTCGACCGACGCCCCCGGCGGGCGCTGCCCTACGGGGCCACTCCGCCCAGTTCTGCACGCCCCTCTGACAGCTCGTATGAAGTCGGGCCTCTCCCTCTACAGGGGGAAACTTCAAAAATAGGAAAGACAGTCAGGGGACTATTTTTTGACATTTTTGATCATGTTTGAATACATCCCCAGGACGAAAGTTCTTTCCTCTTGGATTAAAATATGAGAACAGCAATGGATCCAATTGGATCCCTTTTCGGGTGTGGGAGAGCTTCGTGGATCCAATTGCTGTGGTGCGCGGATCCAATTTCCTGTGTGTGAAAGAACGATGGATCCACTTTTTTCCCGGGAGTAAATCTATAATAATAATTAACATCCGGGACCCAAGAGACATTGGATCCGCGGAGCACCGCAAGTGAAGCATCATGCTATCCACGGAGTTGTGGATCTGCAAACCAATGCTATGATTCTACGGGGGAGGGGAATCTTCCCAGGATAAAGAGGGGAAGGATGAGGGAACAGACAAGAGGAGGTGGGAGGAGCACAGAGGGGACGCAGGGGGGGAGAGAGGAGGAGTAATCAGGGAAGAGAGGGGGGGAGGAGGAAGGAAGAGGAGAAGGAGGAGGAGGAGAAGGATGATGAGGGAGGAGGGAGGAGAGAGGAGGGAGGCGGACGGACGAAGGAGGAAGGAGGAGGAGGAGGGAGGAGGTGGGAGGAGGAGGGGGGAAGTGGGAGGAGGAGGAGGAGAGGAAGGGATGAGGGAGGGCGAGGACGCACAAGCAAAGGGTCCATGTCGGAAGCTCGAGCGCCACAGCGTGCCTGGCCACCTCCCTTCACTTCCTCCAATAACATGTGGTTGCTCGAGCGCCACAGCGGGCCTGGCCATTTCCCGAAAATCCTCCTATAATATAAGTGTGCTCGAACGCCACAGCGGGCCCGGCCAACTCCCGCATCTCCACCCATCACATATCTACCCCACCTCGAAGCGAGCGCTCCATGTATCCACTCACCTGAACGGCGCGTCGTTTCCGACATATGGGGCTCAAGAAGAAAATCTTTCGGTTTGCGTAAGTATGTTTGGGGATACGTTTTATTTTTTCGTCGAAAGCCGCCTGGCCCAGTTCGGCGCGTCTCGCGCGCAGATCAGCCCCCGCAGGGAGCTGTCCCTGCGGGCCCAGCACGCGTGGCCTTAAGTCGGGCCTGTCCCTCTACAGGGGGAATCTTCAAAAATGGTCAAAAAGTCTTCGAGGGACGATTTCGTGAGTATTTTTCGTCGAAAATCCCCCCGTATAAGGGGGACAGGCCCGACTTAAGCGTGGCCCCGTGGGGCCACCCCGCCCGAGTCGGGACATCCCTCGCGCAATCCGTGCAGTGGGTCGGGCCAGTCGCCGTGTTATTTCTCTATGCCTCGCTCCTGGCCCCGTCGGCGCCGTGGTGGGGCGCAGCTCTCGCAGGACTTCACGGCTGTCGGCTACGATCGCAGCAGGGCCATGCGAAGTTGGGTGACTGCTCATATGGGGCGATGGCCAGCGACACGTGGGCGGGTGGCCAGTCGGACACGTGTGCGGGCAAGCTTGCTCTTTCCCTCTGTTGCAGCACGTGCCCCTCGTATGTAAGGGGCGGTACGAACCTGAAGGAAGGCATTCATCCCTTCGTTCGATGTGTCCGAGCACGCTCCGACTCATGATCTACTCATTCCTGCCCGTGCCCATTCGTTTCCCTCGTCTACCGTTAAGTCGGGCTTGTCCCTCTACATGGGGGACAGATTCAAAGATAGTCAGAAAATAGTACGGGGACGATTTTCTGTGTATTTGTGCGCATAGTTGAGCATTTTTTGTGATTTTAAAATTTCGTCCGAAATCCCCCTGTAGGGGGACAGGTTCGACCTAATTAAGTCTACCGCCTCCCTTTCTGCTTTACATTCTTCCCACCCCGGTATGGTACCTCCCCCCGGGCCGCGGGCCTCTTTCTCTCTCTCTCTCCCTCTCTCTCTCCCTCTCTCTTCCTCTCTCTCTCTCTCTCCCCCTCTCTCTCTCTCTCTCTCCCTCTCTCCCCCTCTCTCTCTCCCCCTCGCTCTCTCTTTCTCGCCCCCTCTCTCTCTCCCCCTCTCTCTCTCTCTCTCCCTCTCTCTCTCTCTCTCCCTCTCTGTTGTGAAGAGTGCACTCCCCTGCCCCTCTGCCGCCCGTGCCACCATGTGTGTATGTTGCACACGCTTGTCTTGTTTTGTGGCATGCACGCTGCCCGCCGCTGTTTTGGCCCTAGTCCTAGGGCCCTGGGACGCACCCGCAGTTGGACTGCCGCGCGGTCTTTGCTGAAAACAACTGCACTGACATTGGTAGCGGAGCTAGTAAGCTCCAGCGGACGCACTGCGTGCTCTGCTTCGGTGGTTGTGACCACCCGCGTGGGCCGCCATGGCCACCAGCCACGACGGCTCAGACGTGGAGGCTGCGTCCTCCGCAGGCACAGGTCCCCCGGACCTGCATGCAGTCCTGCGCGTGATGGCCGAGACCCAGCGGGAGCTCTTGGCCTTGCATCGGGATCGTGGCGACGGCGGTCCCAGACGTACACGTCTACTGCTGTCGCAGGTGAGGCTCCCAGAGTTCGATGGTGGAGTCGGTACGAGTACTAAGAAGTACCGAGAGTGGCGCAAGGAGGTTGAAGTCATCCGCAACCTCAATCAGCTCTCAGACGTGGAGCTGGGCCTGATCATCTACAGTCAAGTGACA